TACAACTTAGAGTGATACTTTGAACAACAGATCAACCTTGCCCTAATCCTCACTGTCTTCACGATCTCTGTCATGTTGAAGCACATTGTTGATTGACATGGTCCCTATGTTAATCCATCTCATTGGGAGTCTTCCTCTCTTTTACTGACCCTCCATTTTTGCAAGCTTGATGTCTTTTGCCAGCAACTAGTGCCTCCTGACAATGTTCCCCAAGTACCTGAGACAAAGTTTCCTAACCTTATCTCTAAAGAGCAATCTGCTTGCAGTTCCTCCAGGACAAAGTTGTTGATTCTGGAGGCAGCCCTTGGTGTATTCAATACTCTTGTTGTTGTTGTTGTTCAGTGCCATCGAGTCGCAGGCGACTCACAGCGACCCTATGAAGGAGAGTCCTCGACGCTTGGGTACCTTTCATCTTCTCTCCAGGTTCATAGGGTTTCCGGAGGCAAGCTATTATGGAAGTGGATGCCACTCCTCCTTCTAATCAGTACTCTTAGCCAACACTAACATTCAAAGGCATCCATTCTTCTTCAGTCTTCCTTTAACTGGTAGAAATCTCATCTACTAGAGTATTGTTCCCTTGGGCTTTCCAGGCTGTAATCATAACAGAAGCAGATTGAGGTCTTTTTCTCATGAAACTGTCAAGTGGGTTCAAACTGCCAAAATGTTAGGTAACAACTGAGTGCTTAACTAACTTAAAGACAGCTTACAGTAGAAGAAACATAGAAAAGACAACACAGCTTTAAATTTGAAACTCAAAGCTGTATCCAAGCAAGAATGTTGATACATTTCTTGTGATTGTTGCAGCTGTTACTCATTGAATTAGACACAGCTCAGAGCTGACCCTCCAGTGAGTTTTTAGAGGCAGTGAACTACACAGAGGCAACAGCCCAACTTTCTCCAGTGGAGCAGCTGGTAGATTTGAATCTTCTCTCTTAAGTGTAGCACCACAACTCCTTGCCACTAGGCCACCAGAGCTGCCTTCTTGTGATTAGTCATTCCGTTTATTTCTGAGCTTCCTGGTAGTCTGGGTAATGAGGCAAACACAATGGGGTGCATTCTTGTGTTTAGGTAAAAGAAAAAAAAATACAAATTCTTGATCTCTCTTAGTAAGTAAATTCTCAAAGATAATCATCTCTTGGGACAAAGTTAAATATAATGCAATATCTAACAACAGTTTTCTAGCAAATGCGAAAGTGCTTCTAGATAATTTTTTCTTCCTTTAGTTAGTGATACAGAAGGACAGGAAACATGAAAACCTAATTAGGGACAGGTATCCTGCAAAGAACGAGCCTTGGTCATCTAGGATACTTAAGGATTTTTGTTAAGCGGTGGTTTGGTTGGGTTTGGGGGAGTTCCCCCCTTGAAATCAGCTCATGTTTTGAGATAGAATTCTCACTGCCTGGTCCACCAGAAACCTTTATTCTAGCTCACTGTCACCAGAACTCAGAAGTACAAAGGGGCAAGAAATATAAGATGTGAAACCTTTTCAATTTTTGCTGTCATCTTTCTTAGTTCAGTTCACTGTCTAGTTTCATTTCTTGTGCATCAAGCATTCACAATCTTATCCAGCCTTAGCACCAAACCAGGACCTTCCTCCTATTTTGTTAACCTTTGTTGTGCAACAAACCACCACATCTCTAACAGCTGGAAACAGTAACCATTCATTAGCTCAAAACCCTGCAATATGGGCTGATGTAGGTAGGCAGCTGAGCTCCCCTATGCACGTTCAACCAGCGGGGGATTCATTGTGGTCCGGAAGGTCCAAGATGGCTTTGGTCACATGCTGAGGAATTAACGGGAAACTCAAATGACTGGAGACTGTCTGGGCCACTTTTCCTCAAGAAGACAACCCAATTTAGCATTTCAAGGTGATCTACTGCCAACTCAAAGGCCTACAGTTTGCATCCACCAGCTGCTCCATCAGAGAAAGATGGGCATTCTCCTCCACTGTGATTTATAACCTTTGAAAAGTCACTAGAAGATCAGCTATGGCTTGGTTCTAACATGACAGCATTTAATAACAACAGATAGCAAAAGCTTCAAAGCTCCTCAGTCTAGAATACATGGGGTTCCGTTTGCTGCACCCTGTTGTCAGAACACCAGCCCAGACTCAGGTGCATGGAGCTACTTAGGGTATGGGTCTAGGGGGGTGGGATGTATAGGAAGCCATTTGGTAGCAATCATCCGCAGCCCTGATCTCACCAATGCTCTGGTAATAGGAGGTCCGTAGGAAGGGATTCAACATTTGGAGCCTGTGCCTGTTCCCCTGGAGAGGAGGCTCCTCATCAGAGCATCCAGGGCTAGCCCAGTTCTCACTCCAAGCTCTGGGCACTCAACTTAACTGCCATCATCAAAAACCCAGCTCTCAGGTTTTATGAGCCCTATTTAAAAATCTCTATAAGGATCTCTGAGCAATGGACGTTTGACGTGATGAAGCAGTAAATGTTTTAAGAAGCCTACTGGTGACTACTGTTTGAAGATCTTGTAAGTCTGGACATGTCGTGTTATTTGCTTGATGGCTAAATATCTAATGCTAGTGAGCCGGCAGCCTCCCTCTTCTGCAAGACTATCCTGTCAGCTGTGGCAATCAGAGATCACAAGGGCACTTTAAATTGGCTGAAGTATGATAAGACAGCATGCTGACGACAGCCCCAAAGTCAGCAGAATCTTCTGTGCTCTGGAATGGGGACTGCACCTGACAGTCCCCACTGGCCCTGGCTTTGGACAGGGTCAGGCTGTTCAAAAGGATGAACTGAGTGAGAATAAAGGCCATTTGCTCATCATTTTTGCAGATGGTAGAAAGCTGGAAGGACTAGATAGCAAAGGCATTGAATAAGAGAATTAGGGGGAAGAAACCATTTTGACATCCTAAGGAGACATCTGAGACCCTGACAGACAAGCAGCCAACTGGTGTGAGCAGTGGGCACAGTGCCTGCCACACAGCAGGGGTGTCCAGTGACAGGAGCCCAGCACCTTAGAAAGAGGACTGGGTTTGGAATTGAAAGCCCTGCACTTTAATCCTACTCTGCTTTTGTTAGCCTTGTGACCCAGGAACCCGCTATTAAACCACTTCTCCGTGTTTGTGAGTAATATAGCACTGATAATTCTATATTTCGGGTTATTACTAGGTTTAAAAGAGATTAACAGAGGTGAAAAGTATGCATTGTTGTTATCGTTAAGTGCTGTCGAGTCATATATGACTCATAGCAACCCCATGAATGAAAGACCTGAGCACTGTTCATAGAGTTTCCGGAGGCAAGCCATTTCAGAAGTGGATGCCACACCTGCTTCCAAGCTTGTTTTAATTGGGAAGCTCCACCAAACACTGTCCTCCATGGGTAACCATTTGACACATCAGTGTCACAGTGTTCAGCTTCACAGCAACCACAGGTTACCTCTGTACAGAAAAGTACATAGCACACGATTTTGTTAACTGCCATTCAGTCAGCCTCCAACTAAAACTGACCCCAGGTAAAATGTAACAGACAAAACACTGCTCAGTCCACACTATGTCCTTGATTGACTGTGGATAGCGTCAGTGGGAGTCATAGGACTTTCACTGCTTGGTTTTTGGAAGTAGAACCTCAGACCCTCCATCCTAGTGCATCTTACTCCGACTATTCCGCTGAAATCTGTTTTGTATCATCAATATGAAAGCTCCCCCTGCATGGGGCATGCAGGCTGGACAATGCATGAGGTGCCCTGACCAGGAACTGAACCTGGTTCTCCTGCATGAAAGTTGAGAATTCTACCACGGTGCCACCAACACCTCAGCTAGTACACCGTAGCTGCTCAAATGAGTTTCTCGCTGGTGAAAACAGTTAACACACTTGGCAATCAACTGAAAGACTGGAAGCTCAAGTCTACTCAGAGCTGCCTTGAAAGAAAATCCTAATATCTACTTTAAAAAAAAATGTATCAGCCATTCACATTTCCATGGAGCCAAGTTCAACTCTGAAATACAAAGTGTCACCATGACTTAGAGTCAACTTGATGGTCACCAGTAGCTGGTTTTTAAAACATTCATTACCAAAGTTATTTCCTTTCCCTCCTAAGGGGGAAGCTGGTCTTCCCTAGAAATCTGAGCTGACAGAGCCTTCTCTTCTGCTAATCTCATTCAAGATGGCATCCTTCAACCCTGCCCTGCTCTCTGGTTAGAAGTCTACAAGAATCAAGGGCAAAGTAACAGGCATGAAATATTTATGTGTACAGTAGCCTCTGGTAGGAAAGGCACTGACACATCTTGGCTACTGAAGGAAGTGAAGCCAATATGGCCTCCGGGAGATAGCCAGTTTCAAATTTTTAAACAAGATATGGTCTAGCTGCTATTAGAGTTTTCTAGAAGCAGGGAAACCACATGGTCTCCAGACACTGACGCTAACTACTCACATAGGCACAGCCCCGGGTTGTCCTTGTCTCGGAAATGTGGAGATCCAGGAAATGGACCAGCCTGGGTCTTTCTCTGGGGATTATGGAGGGCCAGAGGATAGTACTGGGGAGAAAGGAGACAGAGGAGTGGATGAGGGAAAGAAAGTGACTTGATGTAAAGAGTAGACGAGACAGTGTGTGTGAAGTAGATGTCTTTGGAAGATTATTGCTGTTGTTGGGTGCCATTGAGCCAATGCTGACGTAGCAACTGCATGTATAACAGAGCAGAATTGCTGTCATGTCTCCTTGGTTATGATCTTTAAGGAAGCAGCCAGCCAGGTTTCTCTCCCAGTCAGTCCCAGCTGATAGTTCCAGTGGGGAATGGGGCTGGAACAATCAGCCTTTCAGATGGCAACTGAGCACTTAGCCATTGTGTCAGTTAAACAAATTGCTGTGACTTAAATGTTGCTTCTGCCTCTTTCCTCTTCAAAGCTGAGTCATGCTAACCACTGAAGGAAACACCTAGAAAGTCCTGAGGAAGGGTGTGGACGCCCTCAGTCTCTCTGGAGAGGCACAATGTTTGATTGTCCTTTCATCCTGTGCCCTAATGATAGATCTGCTTTCTCTGACAGAGGAGCTGAAGGAAAAGCTGACAGAATATGTGGACAAGATGAATGGCCAGAAGCCCGGTTTCATCAAGGTTGTGCGACACAGCAAGCAGGAAGGCCTCATCCGCTCCAGGGTCAGCGGCTGGAGGGTGGCAACGGCACCTGTCGTGGCGCTCTTTGACGCCCATGTGGAGTTCAATGTGGGTTGGTAAGTGTCCATCCAACCACTTTGGGAGTGATGGATGAGGCCTAGTGGTGTGCAAGAGCAAAGCATGCTGGGAGCTCAGTCTTGATCCAGAGGAAAAGGAGGGAATTCTGGGATCAGGTGAGATTTGTAGTTTTGTGTGGCCTTGACAACAAGCCAACCCTTCAGTCTGAGGAGTGAGGTCGACAGATTGAAACCTAGTGTCTGTAGATTATGGTGGCATCCTGTATGACTCCATCAGCATCATCTTTTAGGAAGTATGATCAGGGAATGGAGTCAGGGTTCAAGGGCAAAACAGAGACTGTCTACCCACCAATGACAAGGCTCCAGTACTGCAGAAAGGGAGAACTGGAAATGATATGGGATAGTAATCCAATCACATAGACAAGGTTAAGATGAAGTGGACAGAAAGCCACTTCCAATTACATAGACAAGGTCAAGATGGAGGGGACAGGAATGGCTTGATGATGTCATAGGGGTCCTGGGGCAGGTCAGCAGTAGCACATAATCTCAGATTCTTCCCACCAGGGATACCCTAGGGTCGTTTAGGTGCTGCCTGGAACAAGATAGTGTATGTCTCAGTGGCTACAGCATGGTAGGGCAGCCACCCTTCTGGCTTCCCACAGGGGAGGGAAAGCTCACTCTGTAGCTTTGCCGAGATCCAGCACCTGGGGCAGAAGTGCTGGAGGAATGGCTCCCCGCAGCCGGAGCAAGTAGGTTACCATCTTCTTAATCCATCTGCCTAATGCGTTCCTCTGTTTTCCTCCCTTCGACTCTGCTTTGCCTTCGCCTACCTTCCTTGAGCAGGCTGAAGATGGTGCGTTCACAGGAGGGAGCAGCGGGGCAGAATCCAGGGTGGCATGGGCTGGATTCTGGCAAATTTTTGCATAACAGGCTCAAATTAAAGTTGCAGCGCAGCCGTTTTTATATTTGAAGTTCCTGTTTGCAATTTATGACAATTTAGAAAACATTTTCCTTGGATTTATGGCCGGAATAAGAGAGGGACACAAGTATTTCAAGCTGATTTGAATAAACAATTATGGAACAAATGTAATATTAATAAGGAGCTTATCATTCGTGTCTGCAAATACATTACTTGCCTGGTGCCCTGGGGGCCTCCTGGCTCCTGGAATAGCTCCATACCCCAGCCCTCTGTGGGTAGGTGGGGAGCCTGTGGATGGGGGCCAGTGTGAGTGGCCTGAGCTTGGAAGGATTATGGCACTGTGGCCTGACAGAAGTAGATTTGTTCTCATCTCCAATCATTGCCGTTTTCATCTGACTTTTCCTCCAGCTTGACACGTTGAATTTTAGCAAAATCAAAGCTCAGGTTGAAGGTTTCCTATGGATCCTCAGATGTGTTCCTTTATTCTTTTCCTCCTTTAAGTCTTGATGTTTCCAGCCCAGCAGAGATGAGGAAAACAAGCAGGCACAGGAAGGAGTCCCTTAACTGGCTGGAATAAGAACTTCTCAGCTCAGTTCAAGATACATTGAAAGGTTGATATCTTTGCTTTCTGCAGCTACTGTAACAAAATTCCACAAAACAAGTGGCTTTAAAGAACAGGAATTTATTTCCTCACAGTTTGGAAGCGTGAGGTCCAAATTCAAGGTGTTGTCAGGCTCCCTCCCCACCTCCGGCTGTGCTGGTGGTTGTTGTGACTTTCAACTTGGAGCCTACTCATTGTTGACCGGCCAGAGATTTTTCACAGGCAGTAGATCACACCGAGAGGAGATTGCCCCTCTTTCCACCCCCCCGCCACAGTAGCTAGTGGATTTGAACTGGGCACAATTCCTTACCACTTAGATGTATCTTTATATGGTACCTTCTCCTTGTGTGTGTCTGTTTCCATGTCTTGTTTTTCCTTTGTATAAACAACCACATGGAAGAGATAGGACCCACCCTGCCCTGCAATGGCTTAATTGATAGTGTCTTCCAAAGAAGTTCTTATTTCCCAAATAAGGTCATATTCACAGATACAAGAGTTAAGAATTCAATTTCCCTTTTTTTGGACTTCATTCAATATGTGGTCAGGTCTTTTGCCAACCCAGAGTTGTCAGATGAACAGCTGAATGAGGAAAGGGTCCACTTCTCTAGTGGATCTGTTGTCTTTCAGTCATTAACATATTCAGGGATTATTTGCAGTCCACCCTGGAAACAGTTACCCTCTCTCTCCCTTCTTGTCCCTCAGGGCTGAACCTGTCCTCACCCGTATAAAGGAGAACAGGAAACGAATCATCTCTCCATCCTTTGATAACATCAAATTTGACAACTTTGAGATAGAAGAGTACCCACTGGCTGCCCAGGGCTTTGACTGGGAGCTTTGGTGCCGCTACCTAAACCCCCCAAAGGCCTGGTGGAAGCTGGAAAACTCCACTGCCCCGATCAGGTAAAGTGTGCTCATCTATCACTCTGTCTGCTCTGTCCTCCAACTAAGGGTTCCCTCCCAAACCATTCCTGACTTTCCAAACTCCAGTCCTGTCTTTGTTCACTGCTTAATCCTGCTCAAGAGAAGTGTTATCCAAAAGCAGATGGAAGGGACTCACTGTTCACAGGGCCTGATGGGCCCTTTGAAAGGAGCCACTATGTCCAGATTCCATTTATAGTTTCAAAGTTATCATTACAACACATTACTGTCGGACATCCACTGGGTGTCACCTGATGTCACTTGTGCGGAGCGTCTCGAGTGTTTAAGGTTTTGTCCTGAAATTGGAGGAAGAACTGAAATACAACTCTTAATTGTCTCCACAATTGTCCCTTTGCCATGAGATCAGAGAAAGTGGACAGTGCCTCACTATTACTATCGAATGATTTAATCAAAGATTCTCTAGAAGAATACTGGTTAAAAGGAGAACTATAGAAAACGACTTATGGAATCCACACTTTCTGGATATGTTGAGGCTGGATGATTCCCCAGAACTATTGCTGTAAGGAGTTCTTTAAACCTTAAACTTAAACCAACCCCTGAAGCCATCTCTAAACCAAACAATCATTTAACATAATTAGACCAAAACATTCACCATAAGTATTGAGTTATTTTAAGGAATTATAAATATAAGATCAAATTGACAATACAAGTTCAAAAGTGTATATGTTCAAAAGTATAAATTATTACCTAGCTTGGGAGAGACTGGAGAGCATTATGCTGAGGGAACCAACTCAGTCCCACAAGGATAGATATTGTATAAAACCGTTATTGTAGAATGCATATAAGGATCCAGGAGGAGTAGGAGAGGCTGGAAGCAGAAGGATGTAGATGTGTTAGGGCGGGGGTGCTGGTGGTGGTGGATTAATCATTGGGTTGTAAAATTTAAAGGGGGAATGAGGAAAATTGAAAGAATTTGTTCAAATTTGTATTTAGAGTTTTCTAAATAAATAAGTAGAGAAAAAATAAAATTAAGAAGGGAAAATAAAAGAAAAAATAAAGAAAAACCTAGGAACCAATGAGTTTGTGTAGATGTTGTTAAAACAATTTGGCCAAGAATATTGAGATGGATGGAGCACCTTAAAGAATGTAACAGTACTCCTCAATCGTACGTGCAGGAATTGTTGAGCTGGTGCATTTGACTGTGAATATTGTAGAAAACCAAAATTTGTTCCTGCCCTTCCCAAAAGATGGAGTCTGCTAGATACAGATAAAATCAATTTTATACAGCGTAATGAAAGATCTGAGACAGACACTGGATGAACATGAGAAGCCTTTTCAGAGTGTAAAATTTGTGCTGGTTTTGGGCTTTTTAAAAATTTTATAGTTTTGTTTTTATTGATTTGCTTACAAAGTTCATATATGTTGTGTTTCACACTTCATTCATATTGTGTTTTATACAATCATTCTCATGCATTATGTCTTTACGAAATTAATCACCATTGGACCTTGCCCATCATTACCGTGTCTATTCACTTGGATCCTTCCCATTTTCTCCGCTCCACCCAAACTATGCAACCCTGTAGTGTCGCCCCTACTCATCCTCACCCCTCCACTCTCATACCTTCCCCATATATGTTTTACTAGTTATCCTTCTATTTTTACAATAATGGTCTTATGCAATATTTGTCCTTTTGAGACTGAATCGGTTCACTCAGTAAAATGCTCTCTAGTATCTCCCAAGTTATGTAGTACTTTTCAAAATTGTTCCTCCTGAGTGCTACATAGTATTCCTTTGTGTGAATGTGCTGGGCATTTATGGGTGAATAGAGAATTTCTGGAGCCCTTGAATGATACAAATGGTTAATTGATATTTTTCCCCCCTTTTAGACCAGCTGGTAGGCTCAGGAGGTGCACTTTTGCCTCCAGTCTTTCTGGCCCTTTCCTCCCTTAGTGGGAATGTGGACTTGGAGGCTCACTCCCACCCATTGCATCAAGTCAGTCCCAACTCCTAGGAACCTTACAGGAAGGACTATAACTGCCCTGTAGTGTTTCTAGGCCTATATATCTTTATGGAAGTTGTCACCTTTTTCTTCCATAGAACCACTAGTGGGTTTGGACCACCAAACTTTGGATTAGTTGTCAAGTAACCATTGCCCCAGCAGAACTCCTTGGTGGCTAACTAAACTCAAATCATTGCTGCAGAGTCAGAACTGGCTCATAGTTGACATTCCAGGAGGTTTTAGAGACTGAATTACCTGGGAGAAGATAGCCTGTCTTTCTTCTAAGCAGCACCTACTGAGTTTGAACTGTCTGTCTTTGGGTTGGTAGAGTAAATCCTTAACCACTAGGCCACTAGAGCTCCCTGGGGTACTCACTATTGTTGTTATGTATCTTAGAGTTAGAACCAACACATAGCTGACCCTCTGGCGGGTTTTCAGAGGCAATTAATCATATAGGAGGAGATCCCCCATCCTTCTTTGGCGGAGCGGCTGCTGGCCTCCAAGCGTGTGCCTTTGGGATTGCAGCAGAGTTTCTTACCGTTAGGCCACCGTGGCACTTACTATGTGCAAACATCTAGTCTAGGACTTTATGAAGAGTGATACCCCCTTAGGTGAATCAGAAGCTGCTTCTCAGCTGAGAGCATTAAGCGACACAAATGACTTTGAATTGTTCCACTGCACACAGCTACCATTTCTAGCTCTCATCTAGTAATTGCTGCAGCCAGAGAATTGGGTACAGGAAAGAAAGCAAAGGAGAAAGAAGAATCCTTAGTGATGAGAAAACTGTCAGTCAATCACATGCAAAGGTGCCCATCTTTGAAACTGAAAACTCATCAAGGTGAAGAAACCGCTCTTTTGCAGGTCATGTCTTCTTTTTTGCAGGTCATTCGCTTATAATGATGTAAGAGGCTGGTCAGGCAGACTGGTGCCCTGAGGTCCCTGCCCTTCTCCTTTCAAATCACAGCACTTTATTCTAAATAGCCTCTGAAAGAGATTGGGCTGTTGCTTTGGTAGAGGACCCTGTCGTTGTTGTTGTTGATGATGATGATGGTGTGTACCATAGAGTTGTAACTAACCCAAAGCTTACCCTCCAGCGGGTTTTCAGAGCCAATTAATTGCATGGGAGGAGATGACCCATCCTTCCATGGAGCAGCTGGTGGCCTGGAATTGCATGTCGAGGCTTCAGGATTGCAGTGCAGCTTCTTGCCACTAGACCACCAGAGCTCCCTGAGGCCCTGTCTTAAGAAATTAGCAAAGTTTTTGTTGTTGTGTACAGTGGAGTTGGAACCAACCCATAACTGATCCTCCAGGGTTGGGGGGTAGGGGAGTGTTTCAGAGGCAGTTAATCACATGAGAGGAGATTGCCCATCCTTCTTCCATGGAGCAGCTGGTGGATTCCAACCTTGTGCCTTTGGGATTGATTGTAGTGCAGCATCTTGTCTCTTCGCCTCCAGTGCTCCCACTATAGGGCAAATACTCATTCTGTTTCTGCTGTGTGTCTGAGAAATTCTTAACCTCTCTGAGCCTCAGATTCCATATCTACTAAATAGAATCCATCTCAGCCTCACAAAGATTAAATTAAATCATGTGAAACATGCCCTTGAACTGTATGATGTGGGAGGAGAGTTCTGAATATGCCATGAACTATCAAAAGAACAAACAGATATGTCTTGAAGAAGGTAAAGCCAGAGTACTCCTGGGAGGCAAGGATGGCAAAGCTTCACCTCATATTCTTTTGGCCGTGTTGCTAGAGCAGGCTATTCCTTGGAGAAGGACATCATTTCCTTGGAGAAAGGTGGAAGGACATCAAAGAAGAGGAAGACCCTTAATCAGGTAGATTAACACAGTGACAGCAGCAATGGGCTTGAAACTGTGAGGATGGGATGGCACAGGATAGGACAGGTTCAGATCTGTTGTTCATATGGCATATGGTCACTGTGGGTCATACTCACCTCAATGGTACTTAACAACATCAGCAACAAAGTGTTAATCACCATTGTAAGAACATGGAAACAGCCCAAATTTCCATCCACAATCAAATGGATAGAGAAATTATGGTACATTCACGTGATGGAATACTTTGCAGCACACAGGAGCAATGTTTTTGAAAATTACTATCTAACTTAGGAGGGACTGGAGAGCATTATGCTAAGTGAACTAACTCAGTCCGATAAGGACAAATAACTGTATAAGACCATTATTGTAGAATATGTATGAGGATTCAAAGGGGTGGGGGGAGCAGAGAGGTGTGGATGGGTGGGGGATAATCATAGGGTCACACAATTTGATGGGGGGAAGGAGAGGTGGGTAAAGGAAATGGGAAAGATTCAGTGTGAAAAACTGTATATGAACTTTGTAAGTAAACAAGTAAGAAATAAAAATTGTATTTATTTTTAAAAAACTGAGATTACTTAAATATTTTTTTAAAATGAAAATTTCTGGGGCAAAATTGACAGTAATCAGGCAATCCTCCTTTACAAATATGTTTATTTCTAAACATCAGTTTGTCATAATGGGATTTCAGCCTTTTTGTCTCTGCCCTTCTGGAGTGCTGAGTGTGACAGGACACACAGGAAGTCTGCTTCCATATGGGAAGAGAACTTCCTCTGACTGCCAGATCCAGACAGCGAATGAACAGAATCTGAAACAGTTACCTGGGATCAATACAGGCTGCCATGAGCCAGTATATTGCTTATTAACTGGACAGGGTATTCAGTGGATACCGTCAGCCTCAAAGTGATATTGATTTATGTCCTGCCTCATATCTGAGTGGATTAGACATAGTTTACGGGAAGATACAAAATACATTGAAAAACACAAATAGATAAATGTCTGGAAAGACAAAAACATCACAATAGACTGGGTCAAAATGTGGGTGTATAGATGCAGACAGAATTACAGGCTGGCGCAGATGGCGGCCGAAGTCCATAGGGAGTTGCACAGTTCTAAAATGGTCCTACAGGCTTGGTCTGAGCTTCCTGGTAGCCAAGGTAAAAATGAAATATGCATGGTCTTAGAAGTAAGATTCCCGTTTCCCATGTGGCAATGCCCTCCTGATTCCGCAGGAGGAACAAAACTTTGACTTGTTTGTTGGTGTTAGGTGTCATCAAAGTGACCATGACTCCTAGCAACCCTGTGAACAGCAGATCTGAACCTTGCCCTCTCCTGTGTCATCCTCCTGATTTCTGTCCTGCTCAAGCCCATTGACCAGCAGTTGAATGGAAAGGGAATTTCTTATCCCTCACTTCCTACAGGTGTCACTGAGGGTTGAAGTCAAAACTATCTTAAAGACCTTCTTTTAGAACATAGTAGATGATATTACGGACTCTTACACCACAGAGTTTTCAATGGCTGTGCTTTTGGAAGTAGAACATCAAGTCTATCTTTTGAGGTGTCTCTGGGTAGACTAGAACTTCCAAACTTTGGTTAGTAGAATATGTAAACATTTTCACCACCCAGGGACTCTTTGAACAAAAGAACCCAGGTGGCTTCTAAAGCATTTGCCTAAGCCCTGCCTATTAGATATCTCCTCAAAGTCACACAGGTACCTTGAATTCAGTTATTCTGCATGGAGTGTTCCTTCTCCCTTCTGAAACCACCTCTTCTCTGTTACCCCCATGCTGTGAGTGGCCTTGAACCACTCTATCCTCTCTCTCACCTTCATATTCTGTCTAGGGTTCTGCTGATTTCATATCAAAGTGTCTTAAAATCATTGCCTTTCCTGATACTCTAATCTGGGTCCTTATCAGCTACTTATCAGGCTTCCTTAATTCACACCCAATCTCCTCCAATCAATCACCGAACTGTGGCCTGAGTATTCTTTTTGAATAAAGCATAGATCTGTTTATACCACTGTCCGCTTACAATTCTTCACTGACAACCCTTTACCTGCAAACAAAATCCACATTCTTTACCATCTATCCAAAGATCTTTACAATATGGCAAAAAAGATAAGCCCCAAAGATATGCTCTCTACAAGAGACACATCTTAGGCACAAACACAAGTAAGTTGAAAATTAAAATAAGTAAAAAAATAATATATGAAAGCAATAACTGGAAGTGAGCAAGGATCGTAGTTTTAATGTCAGCCAAAATGGACTTTATGTAAAAGTCTGTTATTTTAGATAAAGGAGATAATTCAATGATAAAATTACCTATTCATCAAGAAGATATAATAATTATAAACGCATGTGTACCTAGCACTGGTACACCTTCATAAACAAAGCAAACACTGACAGAATTGAAGGGGAGAGTATACAGCTGTATAGTAGTACTTGGATGTATTGTTACCACCTGTTGTTGTTATTGTGTATCATTGATTCAGAACTGACTCATAGCTGACCCACTAGCCAGTTTTCAGAGGCAGTAAATTGCCCATCTTTCTCCTGCAGTATAAATGGTAGATTCCAACCTTGTGCTTTTGGATTGGAGGCAAACCCCTTACCACTAGCCCAAGCTAATTTTTTCAGGTGGACCAAGGGTGGTTTGCAGAACTTGAAATTGGCAAGTGTGGGAGAGTTGGCATGAGTGCCCAGGCAGAAACTGAGGCTGGCTGTCAGTTCAGAGTTCATATGCACGACAGCTAGTGATACAGACTTTCAAAGTCGCCTGATTGGGCTAACAACCAATGATGGTCTGACCCAGGACAATAACTATTTAATGAAACAGCCTAATGGAGTGGCTGGATGAGGGTGGATCCAGGAGGGCTATTCCAATAACCAAGTCCACACCAACCCTAGAAGCACAGAAGGGCCAGAGTTTCGTGGGATGAAGGTCTCTCTGCTCCTGCTAACCAGTGCTTTTGTGTACCATAGAGTCAGAACCAACCCATAGCTTACCCTCCAGAGGGTTTTCAGAGGCAGTTAATCACCTGGGAGGAGATTGTCCATCCTTCTCCTATGAAGCAGCTGGTGCCTCAAACCACGTGCCTTTGGGATTGTAGTGCAGCTCCTTGTCACTAGGGCATCAGAGCTCCAGGCCTACCAGTGGACCCTACATGATAGCCCCACTGCTAACCATCTCCCCCTCCCCCTGCAGGAGCCCTGCCCTCATTGGCTGCTTCATTGTGGACCGGCAGTACTTCCAGGAGATTGGCTTATTGGATGAAGGCATGGAGGTCTACGGAGGAGAGAATGTCGAACTCGGGATCAGGGTGAGCATTGCTACTCCTGGAAAGGACTTGGCTCAGTTCAGAAACGAGTGAATGCAGGAGATGGAGAAATTAGGCTTAATGTTCAGGGGCAAAAACTGATTCTGAATGTCCAGTTTCTAACCATGGTCCGTGGACGGTGAGCTGTAGAGTTTAGGAAGAAGAGAACGTTAGAACCTGCTTGAGACTGGGGGAAGGTCATGGAAGGGTTGAGAAGAGGGAGAAAGGGTCTTTATTAAGACCGAACCATACTTGTAGCTCAGGAATAAATGAACTAGAGGGCTCTAGTAAGAGACTATGGGCACCAAGGCATAGCTAGAAAAGTGGTGCGCCCTGCCCACACCCCTTAGAGCCATGTTTCCTGGGATTTCATTCTTGACATTCTCAATCTTTTCTCAGTGGTCTATAGAACTTTGAGGAATACTTTGCAAGAGGAAGCCACAAGAAAATAACTCATGGAGCATGAACAACAAAACAGAGCAGGCTGACACCATGCTGACCTCACCATTTGTTGGCAGATCCGTGGGCCTCTCTTGCCTCACCCCATTCTCCTGAGACAGCCATTATCCTGCTCCAAAGTAAAGAGCTTTTCTCAGCTCCTGCTGTGAATTCACACATGAGGCATCATTTAGTTTTTCACTCTAAGGGAGTATCTCCTAGAATCTGTCCCCTTTCCTTGGACCCATGAAAGAGAAATCCAAACGGAACCTCTCCTCCCATGCCTCAAGAATGGATTAGCTTGATCTCATGATGACTGAGAGGAATATATTGGTGGATTCCGTGAATAATCTTTTGCTAATGGACTGCCACCCTTTTGTCCAGAAAATGACTCTGTCTTCATGACAAATCTAATACTCAATCTGTGATTTATCCCCATGAAGATGCCTACTGTTCTCTCTCTAGATATCAATAAGCAGCCAATTTGCTGACCTTTTAAGGTTTAGAAGCCTGGAACCCACTGGTGTTCATGAAAACCTCACCCTATTCATTGTTAGTCTCTCCATACCTTGCTACAGACCTTGCCAAACATTTGGCTGATGGTCTCCATCAATGATGACCCCACTCTTGCCCCTTTTGCTTGATGTCTGCATCTGACCATCTCTAGTTCTGATAATCAATTCCCCCTCCAGGACTCCAGCTGGAATACCCTCCTCTTAATTCTCACTTTCTTAGTCCACTGGCCTTGGCCAGTAGCCTGGGCACTTACACGTGTAGCTCACAACACCTGCAGTGAACTGACAGTGACGTGTGGGGCCTGACTCACCTCCCAGACCTTATACTGGGCTTTTCAGGACTGACAGCAGGAACAACTTGTCTGGAGCAGAGCTTAGCAAGCCTTTCCAGACACCTGTATTCATTGAAGCCTGGAGAAATTGCTTTGGAAGCATTCAAAATGCATGGGCTTATTGGGGAGCTAATATATTCATAGAGGACAGTGCCTGCATAATCACCGTCATTTCTCCAGCTCTCGCCACACCGGTCATTTATTCACCATTTGCATCCTCGCCATCTCATTTCCGCTCTGCTCCTGGATAAATGCTCGCCCCCAAACATAATATTTTTCCCTCGGAGCGGCTGTCTGGAATTAGCTGAGCGGCTGGGACACCTCCTATCCCCAGTGCTCTCTGGGTAAAAATGTCCGGGAATGAAGAAAGGAATTAGATTTGTGAACTCAGCTTCCAGCGTGTTTATAAGTCAATCATGAGGTGGTGGGAGATTTCTGACATCTTCCTTCCTAGAATATAAAGCTGCTCTGGAGTGTGGGCCTTGATAAAGCTCTTAGATACATGTCAAAAATACCTTCAGGTGGTTTCATGTTTGAAAAGTAAAATACAGCATAAAATGTTTCCTGACTTCTTCTCCCCTTTGCCCCCTCCCCACTACTTCCTTCCCACTTGACAGAGATGAAATGCCATTAGATCATTGAAGTAGAAGGAGTGTTGACTCTTAAAACAAGGACCCAACAATCTGCTGGCTTTTGTTGTTCAGGGTGAGGGGGCATCGTATTGATTGTCTCATGCGGATCATGTGTGCGATACAACAGAACCGCCCCCAAGCACTTCCTTGGCTGTACTGTTTACGGAACCAGATCTTTCTCCCGGCTGTAATATTTACGGAACCAGATCTTTCTCCCAGTGAGCAGCTATATCCATTTGAACTGACAAACTTTTGGTTAATAACCAAATACTTAACTGTTGTGCCACCAACACTCCTTGTTAGCTGGCAGAGCTGAGGGAAATAGGAAGGTGGAAACAGTTGCCACCAAATCAATTTTAACTCATGGTTACCCCACGTGTGTCAGCGTAGAAATAGGCTTCACAGTGTGGTCAGTGACTGATTTTTTTTTTTTTTTAAAGAACTAGCTTGCCAGGTCTTTATTCCAACATGACTCCAGACAGACTTGAATCTCCAACTTTTTAGTTAGCAGATGAACTAATTTATTACACGTGCGTGTGCACACACGCACACGCGCGCGCGCGCGCACACACACACACACACACACACACAAAGAGACTGCTCTCTAGTCCCCCCTTGTCATTAAAAGAGATACATATTGTGTAAATATTAATATCAGCCTTTCATGTTTTATGAGTTAATATTTCAGTGATTCATTTTCCTAATATATAAAATAGGATGTTGTGTTTTTAACTGCCAGTGGATCCTCAACTTATTGCAACCTCATGTAAACCATAGATGTAATGAAAATGTAAATGAAATTACCTGCTGTGGGATCCTGTGTCACTGTGGTCCCCAGGGTTTTCCACAGCTGACCTTCAGAAGCACATCTCCAGGCCTTTCCTCCTTATCTGTCTTAGTGTGAAAGTTCCACTGACCCCTGCTCAGAATCATAGCAACAAGCAGGTCTCCAGTGATGGGCAGGTGGGGATTGTGGACCATCTAAGATGCATTGGCCAGACATTAAACCCCAAACTCCACTCCGTGAAAGGTAAGAATTCTACTACTGAAATGCCACTGCTTTCGTAACAACTTACCAGACAAAGCCAAAGCTGTAGCCACTGAGCTGAATCTGACTCAGAGAACTGCCCCTTAATGTTTCCAAGGCTATGATGTTTGTGGAAGCAGATTGCCACATCTTTCTTCCTCAGAGCAGCTGGGGAGTTCAAACTGCTAACTTTTTAAAAACTTTATTATTATTATTATTATTATTATTAATTTTAATGGAAATTTACAGATATTTTGGATTTCCATTCACTCATTATTGAACTTTTCTCCTTGCCCACCCCTCCCCCCACTGCTGACCTTTTGATTATCATTTAAATACTTAACCATTGTACCACCAAGGCTCCTTAACAGTTTCTTGGGAACTAGAAAATGATGCCGGTTTTCTTCAAATGTAAGATAAATTTAATAAAGAAAAGTTTACACGCAACTCTTTGTTTGCCCTGAACTGCACTAATGTTCATTTAGGAAAGCCAGGACAAGCAATTATTTCTATAACAGCTTTCAAAAGAATGAGTGAATGGATTCTCTACTCTTCCAATGGTTACCAGTGGCATATAGTCCCTAAACAGTTGCGCTGCTACCCCAAAGGCCAAGCCTCTCAGGCAGTTTGAATCCACCAATGGCTATTGAGGAGAGAGATGGGCAATCCCTGCCCATGTGATTTGCAGCCTCCAAACCCAGTGGAAGTCAGCTGTGAGTTGGTTTTGACTTAATGACAGTGAGTCTGAGGTTTTGAGTTGATAGACTTAGAGATTTAGTTGATGTTTTTCAATTCTTTTCATTTAACATCCTTATTGATTTGCAAAGGTACTGTTATAAGTTGCTGAGAGCCCATTCATCTGGGCCCCCAAGCTTTTTGGCTCTTGGATGGTTTCTTTGCTGCCAGATTGCCCAAGCTTATCGAATACATTCCCTGCTCTCCACTTATTTAATCAGCGCTTAACCTCAGGAGCTCAGTTAGGGCTTTTTGGTAGTTAAGAAATGGTGTTTAAAACCACAATCTGGAATCTAGAGATGCTTGCTGTTGGGTTAGTCTTTATTTCTAGATGTTCTCAAGGTTTACAGCTTGAAATTAATATTTTTATAGAAATAAATTATTCTCATAGTAACACTGATCTTGCCCATTTAGATTTAAAATTTTATTTCATGTCATCAAATTCCTGTCTGTATTTTCTTTCTCCCATGTCATATGCAAGCAAAATACTGCTGAAGAATATTCAAAATTGCTAAAATAATACATAGTTAGGGAACTGTCAGAAGTTCATGTCGAATTTAGAAGGAGCTGTTGCAGCAGGGTTATAATTTGTGATATTACACGAATCCTGGCTGAAAGTAAATAATACCAGAAGAATGTTTATTTATGTTTTATTTACTATGTTGTTGTTGTTGTTATGTGCCGTTGAGTTGCTTGCGACTCATAGCGACCCTATCTATGTACAACAGCCCTAAACTCTGCTCTGTCCTGTGCCAATCGCACTGTCTCTGACACTCCCATCCCAACTATCCCAGTCACTGAATCAATCCACCTCATAGAGGACCTTCCCCTCCTGTGCCATCCCTCCACCCTCCCAAGCATGATGTCCCTCTCCAAGGACCGGTCTCTCCTGGCAACATGTCCAAAGTATGTTAGACGGAGCCTCAGAATCCTTGCCTCCAAGGAGCCACCCGGTTTAACCCTTTCCAGGACAAATCTGTTTGTTTTCCTAGCAGTCCATGGTATTCTCAATACTCTTCTCCAGCACCACAGCTCAAAGGCATCAATTCTCCTTCTATCCTCCTTGGTCATTGTCTAACTCTCTGATGCATAACAAGTGATTGCGAAGACCATGGCCTGTATCAGGCGCACCTTAGTCTCCAGAGAGTCACCGTTGCTCTTGAGTACTTTAGAGAGGTCCCTAACAGCAGACTTTCCCATCGCAATACGTTTTTTTATTTCCTGGCTGCTACATGGTTTAAAATTAAGAAGGGAGTGCATCAGGGTTGTATTATCTCTCCATACCTGTTCAAATGCTATGCTGAGCAAATTCTTTTGAGAAGGT